TCGGATATGTGCACTAGGTCTTACAGTGTAAATGCAGTCTAAAAGAACTGCTGCTATCTATGATGTAGCATTAACTAATCCATATTGACATTGGAAGAAAAAATCAATTGCAATTGGTGGATATCTTGTTAGATTAAAGAATGTTGGACAATAGTTCATTTTATTTACAGAATCAGTATTAATGTATTATATTGAATAATCATGTAGACCATGCCAATAATTTAAGTAATTTCATTGTACTTTGATTACTTTCTTTGTTTTGATACTTTCTCAATTTGACATTTGATAACATTTAATCTTTAGGTGTGTTCAATATCATTATCTTTTAGGTGGGTGTGGTATCGAAATTGGTATCGAGAATTTCACAGGCATTGCTATTGACTACAGAAAATTGGGGTTATATGACTAAAGACCTGTTCACACTGACTTCACTCACATTTTGTAGTCACTCCTGAAATGTGCTGCTCATTTGCATAAAGTTACATTTGTTACTTTGCTGCGTCACTGGACACACTTGCATCCTTTCTCCAGCGGTCGATGGAAGTCGGCCATTCTCTGCTGAATGTGAATGGGAACGTGTCGATTTGATTCAAAATCCAATTCGATAATATGTTTTACTCAGATGTACGTCACAATACAAAAGTTAAAAATCTTCAGTAAATCTCAAAAAGCATATCCATTTTCATACTGTGCATGACTGTTCATAATGACTGTTCATAATCGAGACCCTAGTTGTTTCTGCACATTAAGTTGGGACAGAATAAAGTACTGTGACAAACCTTTTACCATTAAAGCTCTTAAAATGCAGACAAAAGAAGTAAAAGAAAGAAACAACAACTTTTTTTAAAATCAGAGATTATTGCAATTATCAATGTCACTTATGTTTTCGGTGACACTAAAAACAGTCTAAAAATCACTGAGTAGACTTGCGTTTAACAAGGCATAGTCTTACATAAAGATCTGTTTCTTGAAGGGATGCTCTTGAAATCAGGTCAAGCCCCACACCCATGTAGCCTCAGTTCAATCTCAGCACACTGTCTGTGCCAATAGCCATGGTACCTCTTCTAGGCCCTGCATTTGTTTATCAAATTGCATGATACAAATCTCCCCACTGCTCCAACAAACCATTTGCATTGTAAATACCACTCCAGAGGAGAGGAGGGGAAGAGAAGAGAAAGAAGATTTTTTTTCTGGCCATGCTCCTGAGGGCAAATATAAGAGAGATATACTTTCGTCTTGCATAAGCATATCAAGTGTTGAGATCACATAATAGTCCCTAAGAAACTTTATCTTTCCAGCCCACAGAGCAAGAGATGAGAAGAATGCAGAATGTTAGGAAAGAAAAAAACTTAATGGTTGCTGTAGAGAATTTACAGAAAAGTGATGGCTGTGTTACCTGGAATTCAATGCCATAGTTCTCCCTGCAGAAGTCTCGTAGTTTGGGATAGACATGTTCTTTCAGAGCATTTCTTTCTGCTTCTGTATCTGTGACAGGAAACACAAATAAACATGAATATTAAGAGAGGATACTCAGAGGACAGAATTTTAAACCTTTATCTGTAAATATTCATAAATCTTTGTTTGTATATGTCTGTAAATCAGTTTATTCAGATTTTTCAGTACAGTGTTGGTACCATGGAAGAGTGATGGTCTCAGATGTTAATATCATGCTACTTTGATATACCATATACTCAACAATGTTATTTTATTATTATTTTTATACTATTATAGTATTTATTAATAATTTAAATTAATTTGTATATTTTCAAGTTGCATTTTATTTTTAGTTCACATTTTTAGTCAATTTATGTGCTTTCGTCAGTTTTTAATTTTTAGTTCTTATTTTTTTCAATAATTGTAGTACTTCAGCTTAAACTTTTATCCCAACTAGTTTCCAAATTTAACATTTTTAAATTTCTTATTTTTTTTTAAGTTTTTACAAAACTTAAAAACTTTTTTTTTAAATCTAATCGTATTATCTCAGCTGTGTTTCAAATAATGATTTTTAGTATTCTTTTTAGTTAGCAACAAGAACACTGAATGATTACCATAGTAATGCATCATGGTATTAACATGGTGCTTTAAAGAATACTATGGTGTTTCTGTGATACATTACCCCCCCAAAAAAACAGAGATTCCCCGGCTTACACTGTAGTCACTACTGTTCTCTGCTGCTAGTAGCAGAGCAAAAACAAACACAGTGTCTGCGATCACACTGACAATCTGGAATTCAAAACATGGAAATAAACAGGAGGTTGCAGGATTTTGAAAATGTAAAACAAAGACATATAACATAAAATAAGAAATATTCAAGATAGTATATATATGAGAATATGATTGTGAGGTTTGAAACTAACTGCTGCAGTTCATGCAGCTTGAGTGCTGCTGCCATTAAAGCAAAATATATTCTGAAATTAATTTTAATTCTCCAATTTTGAATGAATTTGTAGTGAATAAAATGCAAAATGCAAAAATAGCAGCATTTACTAGTGGCCTCAGCATCTTGCACTCAGCAGCAGTGTATATTGTTGAATATTACATGATACATTTTGACCCCACTGAAGCACGGTTTCCTCTTCTACTTGTCTGCATCAGTTTGCTATTGTGCAGGCTCTCCATTGATAGTTGATATTGCGACAGAGAACAGAAAAAACTGACTGGAGAGCTCTCTGTGGAAGATGAGGCCAATCATGCGTCTAAACCCTCTTGACATATGCAGCCAAGACAGCGTGTCACAGCTCACTACAGCATCTCTATCTGTGTCAGCCTAGTTCCGATTTTTGGGGGGTTGAACAGCTCATGTGCCTTTCAAGTTTTAAATCTTTTATAACTGTCCATTCTGATCTTTTTTTGGGCTGTCCTATAAAGCATCTAATTTCAGTCTGTTACTTTTCCCTCACAGTTTTCCTGTGCCATTTTTGTTGTTTTCTCAGTAATAAATGCTGTGGTGAAACTATCTGGAGCTTTTGTTTCCCCAGCCACTCTCTTTTGAACCGGCTGCCTTGATAACTTTCAATTCTCTTATCATGTCTTCCTGTACTCTTTCAACTTGTTTTCACCCCAACAAAACTAAACATATGAAAGCAAGACAAGCACTTAAAAACATCTCTTGAAATTGGCATTAAATGAAAATTCACCCTATCTATTTTTGTAAATGTTTGTTGTCATGTGAAAATATTGTAAACAATTCACCTGTGCATATGTTTTATTCTTAAAAAAATGTTTGACCTTGTAATGTTTAATCAAAACATCATATCTGGACCTTCCGGCAACTTACTTTCAACAGATCATAAGTCACTCCAAATGCGCGTTTATTTCCACAGAAATATTACGGACATGTTAAATATCACTGTAGTCTATGTCTATATTTCGTAACATATGATGCCTTCAACAAAAAATTCTCATTAACTGGAACATTAAGTGATAATATTTCAAAGTGCTTTCTGACATTTCGACAGATAACACGTATTGTATTCATCCTCTTTAAAAAACATTTCAGTAAACACTGCTAACAGGGGTTAACAATTACATTTTAAAGCATTCATGTGAAAACAAACTTGGAAAGAGACGTGATGATTTGGGGAGAAAAAAAAAAGAGATTCTTAGTGCAGTCCAGTGAATTATTAATCGGATATATCCCAAATTAAATGTGCAGTATATGGTGTCTTCTTTCATATATATTTTTAGATTGGAATACAAGGGAAAATGAAAATAATCAGGAAGAAATTAATTTAGCAAACTAAAAAGAGCTTGTTCCACAGATATTCTTGCTATACCATATCACGCTAAAATATCAAGCGTTGCATTATTCTTCTGCTGTCTGATAATAGAACATGAGTGAAAATGTACAGCTCATTCAGTCAAACTCATGGATAAGGATTATTTGTAGCACAATTTTATTATTTGAAATGATTTGTTTCAGTCTTTTTGAGTGGAACTTCCACAAACCAGAAGTGCCTTCTATAATCTAAAGCGCAGTGGGCTCGTTAGGAAAAAGGTGCATTGTCAATATAGTGTAGTGATACCTGAAGCACAGCTCACACAGATGTCACTTTCAAACCAAGCAGCTTTCTGTTGTCAACACTGCAGTTTTGCTTGGCCAACTTGAAACCGCTGTGAAATCTGCATGGTGAAGTCTTTCATCCTCACACAAAATTCACGATTCACAAATTCACAATTGTGTGACTTCCTTTTGAAATAAATGACTGTATTTTGCCCATAACAATTCACCAAACAACAGTAAATGTACCTGCACCATTAGACCTTTATTATGACACAGGAGCTTAAAAACTGGAAAGGTTCATTTCAAAAGGTTTGTTGTGGTCTTATCATTCGTTCAAGGCTGAAATGATCTTCCCACATGTAACAAACCATCCTCAGAGCAAAAGAAACCTTTAGACAGCATTATTGTCAAGTTAGTAGACAAGACACGCATAGACTGGCAAAACACCAGGGAAAAGCACCTAAGTAGATACCTTCATATAGTCATAAATAAATTAACGTGCCACACACTGGGGAGCACTTTAAACAGTGCATTTGCATAACAGAATGAAGCTTTCAATATGTATCCACCTGGAAATTGTGTCAAAGATATAAGGTTTGAAATATGCATAGAGAAAAAGAAAGGAAGAAAAATAGAGAGAAAAAAAAAGAATAAAAAAAAAAACACCAGCTATATGAGCTGCTGTGCTGGCCTCCACATTTACATGTGGCATGTTTGAAATGCCTGACATGATTGATGATGATAAAAAAAGATAAAGAAAAGACAGAAAAAAAAGGATAAGAAAGGGTGGAGGGAAGGTGGGTAATGCAAATAGCATTACTGAACCAGATTGATTTGAAGGAAGGAAGGGAAGTGAGGAAAGACAATGGAGGGAGTCATGAAGGGGTGAGAGAAATAAATGACTTGAACAAGACTTATAATTTCTATAATAAAGCCTCGTAGCCCCAATCAAAGCTCTGAAGGACTGATGTACAGACGAATGAGATTTTCCAGGCTCTTTGCATTTAAAGTGAAAATGAAATCAAAATGGAACCTATATTTACATTAAGTGCATGATCCAGGGTTACACACTCTAAAAAATGGTGGGTTAAATATTACACAGAATACATGCTGGGTTATTTTGACCCAGCTTGTAGGGCTTTATACATTAAACAAATTTGCTGGGTTGTTTTTTGACATAGTGCTGGGTCAGTCAACCTATTGAAGGTTTTTCAACAGGAAGCATGAAGCCGGAACCAGGGCTATCATACTGGCTGGACATAATGTCGACGAGTGAGGTAACACTGCAAGTCGAGCACCTGGTTTCTGAATCCAGCAAAGGTGTGCTCAAAGAGGACCTACCTTAGAGAGGACAGAAACACACAGGTCCCGGAAAAACACTGCAAAGAAATCTCACAGAAGGATTATACACACATAACCACCTTGTGACATCTGATCTGTCAGACATTTAAGTTTCAACCCATCAAACGCATAGCGCGACCACAGCTGCGTTACTAGCACGCTGGATCAATAGCGTTCCTATTGTAGTCAGTGGAGTGCATGGAAACTTTACATATAACAGCGAAGTCGCATTGTGTTTCAGCCCTGGTCACGCATTCATTTGGTGGGAGGTGAAACTTCCATGGTGTCGTTTGTAGAAGGCTAGCATTCCAAGCAGACGTTGCGACGTACATTTAAACAAAAAAGGAAAAATGTGACACTACAGACATTTTCCTATTTTTACAGTAAGTTTCCCCTCAGGAAGTTTTCTCTCAGGACAGAACACAGAATGACCATTGACAAATTTTTCCTGTTTTAACCGGTTTGGCACAGACTACCCAATGCTGGGTTACACTGACCCAGCACTGGGTAGGTATGTGAGGGAGTTCATCATTTGTATTGACAGTAAACCCCAGCAGCTGAGTTACAGAAAAACTACCCAGCAACTATGTTAGAAAATAATGAAAAATAACCCAATAAAATGATCCAACAGGCTGAACCCAGCATTTGGGTAAAAAAAAAACATTTTTTTAGAGTGCACTTTTTAGATGTTCAACTAACTATAAGCAACTTTGTAACTACATGGCAACTAATACACAGCTAACTCTAATTAGAGTATCAGTAGACTGTTAGGTTAGGGCAAAGACTATAGAATACCCAACATGTGTCTCTCATATAGTTTTGAATGGGGAAAAATGCAACGCTCAATATAATCATTCTATCAAAGGAAGCCCCGCCTTCTGAATAAAAGAGCCAATCACTAATCCGTAAAGTCATTGCGTCCCGGTTACTAAAAAAACATTCTGCATTCTGACACGTGCGCTTAGGACTGCGCATGCACAATGGCTGGTCTAGCCTGAAAAATAAGCATTTTTATTTGAGCCAAAAAAAACAACATTTATGAGACAGTTGTTGTCAGATTTCATTGGTGATTTCAAATATGAAATTTAATCGTAAGCTTGGTGAACAGTTTTGGAGAATTTGATGTTTCCCCATTCAAAGAGATAGGAGCTGCACTTGCATGCCTGGGAGGCGTTTCAAAGATGGCCACTGAGTGAAATGACTTGCCTTAAAGGGACTTTGGTTAGGGTTAGTAGAATAAGTTGACATGTAATTGCAAAGTTACTTACAGTCAGTAGAATGGGGGACCATCAAAATAAAGTGTTAGCAGATTTTAAGCAGATTGTCTACTAATACTAATGACTGGTAGCTGACATGCAATTGAAGTGGACTATCAAAATAAAATGTTACCCATTCCAGGACTTAGAGGCTGTTCTCACACAGAATACGTTCTTGTGTCCATCTGTTGTTTTTAAATTTTTTTTCTATGTAAACATATGCTAAATGTTAGATTTTTCACCATTATAATGTATCATGCTGTTTTTAGTGTATCTTATGTGCATCTGAGTTAAAAACAGCTCAAAACCCTGTTTCGTGACACCTGCATTTTAGTGCCATTCTGTTGCTCTCCATCTATCATTTTTAAATGCAATAATGCATCCCATAGGATTTATTATTATTATTATTATTATTATTATTATTATCTTTTATCAAAAAGGAAAAACTAATGTCACAAATCCCTACCCTCCAACCACCAAAAAAAAAAAAAAGATATTGTGACCACAGAATTAGTTCCCAGAACTTAATTTTTTCTTGTTTTAGTTAAATCGTGGCCACAATGTTTGAACTAAAACAAGTTAACAAATCAGTGCACTGTTAATTTTGAGAGCAAATTTTTATTTAGTTTTAGTAAGTTTTTTAACTAAAATGCCATTAAGTTTTAGTCATATTTTAGTCAAATTAATTGTTTATTTGTTTTAGTTTTAGCTTTAGTCGACTAAATATCATAATATTTAAGTCGACTAAATCTAGATTTAGTTGACTAAAATCTAATGGTTTTATTTACAGTGTAATGCATTTATTAAGAATTTCTGTAAAATTTCAAAACTCATTATATATTCCTGAAGAAAATATCTATTAACCTGGTAATATGAATGATATTAAGGTTTGAACATTCAATATAGACACAGATTTAAAGGGATAGTTCACCCAAAAATGAAAATTCCGACAATAATTACTCACCCTCATGTCATTCCAAAACCCATAACACTTTTGTTCATATTCAGAACACAAATTAAGATATTTTGGATGAAATCCGAGAGCTTTCTGACCCTGCATAGACAGCAAGGGAACTACCACATTCAAGGCCCAGAAAAGTAGAAATGACATTGTTAAAATAGTCCATGTGATATCAGTAGTTAAACCTTTTTATGAAGCTCTCGGATTTCATCAAAAATATCTTAATTTGTCATGCTCATCAAAATGGACGAATTGACATAATTTTGTGTGTATTTCTCTATTCCGCACAAGAACTAAATTCAGTATTCGTGTGCTGTCAGAGAGGCTCATTTCTGTGTGCGTGATTCGGTTGTGTGCACTCAGAAAACCGGACTGAATTGGGTTTTCTTTAGCTTATGTCCCGCCGGATAGATCAAAGCTTTACAGTTCAAAAGTGCACATCTGACCTCCCAACCACGCAGAAGATTAGTTCTGACTGGATCTCTTCCAAAATCATCCCTCCCTAACATTTTCATCTCATTTTAAAAAACACGTCATAGTTTTTGCCGTTATCATTTCGTCGTTGAAAAAATGTCTGTGACGAAAATTATGGTGAAAATTATTTGGCAACAAAATTAACACTGAATCAGTGCCATGATTTACAAACTAAAACGAGGAAACACATTAGTAGTGGCCACAATTTACAAACTAAATTGATTAAATGAATTAGTACAACATGTCCACTATTTATGAACTAAAATGAGGGAAGAACGTAGTACATCATGGCTCCGAAACAAAAGGGTTTGACTTAGTACAACATTATATATATACAGTATATATAAATGATAAACAAATGAATAAGTGTGGCCACATAAATGTGACCCCTGATAAATTGTGGGAATGAATTATTAATTTTGTGGCCACAATATTTATATTTTCATCTGCATGTCATGTGACAAATTTGCATAATATCTTGTGAGTGGAATCCAACGTTTATTTGCTAAAATTATTCAGGATTAATTTCTTTCTGCTTTACGTCTAAGAGCTTCAGAAAAGCCCATCAGATAGGAGTCTAACTAACAACACTGTCACAAACGGGTTCTTAAAAGCACATGTGTGTATGTGTGTATATATATATATATATATAGGCCCACATTTTAGAGCTGTATGGTATGTAAGTTTTGATAGAAATAGATGCCACACCACATTAACATAAATGACATTTTAAGATAAAAGCTTTCTATAGTCACTTAGCATGTTCTAAACATGCTTTAATAGTTTATTGCCCCTCATCATTTGGAATCTCAAACTGCAAGCATGCATCTCACTCAATGGTCTGTCCAATCATGTCTATAATTTGGGGTAAAGCTTTTCTGCAGTTGTATCCCAGGGGTTCTCACATGTCTCCAGCAGCATGGGCTCTGAAAGGTTGGTCGCATATAGATGAGCTCAGTATTGATACAGCTGTCTGATGCTGAAGCACAAGACTCTTAGGGATTAGGTGAGGTCGCAAGATGGAGGACGATGGAACGAGAATTGCTCCCCATCAAAGGCGCCTGACCGTATGTGTTTAACGACTGAATGAAATCCCATCTGTGACTAAAACACATTCCTGTTGGCAATCCATTAGCTACATGGCATTAGTAAACTAATTACCACATGCTCAAAGGCAAAATATTTTCTGAATATTCAAAGCACATAATTATCCATCATTATTATAAGCCATTTGAGTATTTTGAATGCAATGCTTATGAAGCAATGTTGCATTAAAGGTTGAAGTGTGTAAATCCTTTCTCTGGTAAAATACTGTCAAAATGTAATATGCAGAGATTATTATAAATAAGCCATTCATAGGATGATACTCCCGAAATGCACTAATAACACATTACTCGGTTTGCTCAAGCTTGCCAACTAGCCTAACACAATAATAATGACTCAACTAAGAAGTTCTATAATACCTGTAGAATGCTAACTGTTAGCATTTCCATTCATCTCAATGGCTATTGCTCGGCTGCTAATTTTTTTTTCTTTTTTCTTTTCTTTTTTTTTTTGAGCCAATAAACTAAGCTGTAAATGCCATGTAACCATTCACTTTGGAGCCTGTGAAAATAAAATCGTGACAATGCTAATTGGCTGATGTCACCAAGAACCCAAACATTCTTATAGTTTTAAAGGTGCATTCAGTAGTTCTTTAACTAGCATTAGCACAACCACAGCTGTTCTTTGTGTACTTTAAGTACTGATACCACAATGCTTTTAGATGCTATACAGCCATCTATTGATATGGTTCAGAATGATTGTTTCTGAGTTTTATGTAAATTACACTGACAGTAGTGAGCATTAGAGAGCGGTCCAACAAAAAAAGAAGCAACTTTGGCATCACTTAGGATTTTCTCTGCCATCAAATCTTTCCACCTTGTGTATGCTGTACCAATGTTTATGTTTTTTTATGCCTTTGTCTGTTTTTCTGTCTTCTCGCTTCAGACCTTTTTTGCTTTTTCGGACATACAGATACTGATTTGATTTCCCCATTGTCTTTGTGGCTAAAACACAATAATAAAAGTGTGTTCCATTGTTTTGTTTTTTTGTTGCTCTTCTCATCACCAAACAACACTATGTTACTAGTGTATCTACAGAGTCGGCAACTTATGAGTGTGAAACATTGCAGCAAAATAGAGGGGGTTACCCAAACCAAAAATATATTAAAAAAAGCAAAACAAATTTTTATAGAAAACTATTGTCTCAACCAGTCGAAATTTGGTCAACCTAAAATTTAAGTGGTTACCATACAATCTTATCAACTAAAATTTGCTAGTATAACTTTTATAAACAAAAAGGAGTATAGAGGTTTTAGCCCAGCATTTAAAACAGTGAATGCACTATAATAAATCATATTTGCTAACTCCACACATGCTGTTACAACACAGCCAATGGTCCTTAAGGCAGAATTAAACTCTTGCACATAAAACTTTAGTCACCCTTGGTTATCCTAGAGACAAAAAACAAACAAAAAAACAAGCATATCAATGTTATCACATTAATTTCACATTAAAAGCCTCAATCTCAACCTCAGCAAGACTCCAGCAACTACTGTCCTAACTGCCCCTAGTAGACCCACTAAATCACAGAGCTGACTTCTACAATAGCTCTAACACAAATTGGAATCATTCCTCTCCAGTTTAGGCATGTATAAGAGTGAGACTTGTAAGACTGTTGGACAACAAAGAGTTGTTATGAGTCCGTGTGTGCAAGGCCAACTCCCTTTTTGTAATTCTGTGATGTATAAATTGCCCCCTCTAGTGCTTAGGGGGGAAGAGCATTGCACCAAAGCCCAGCTGGCTCGTTCAGTCAATGAAGGTATCATTAATTCTACCTTGACATTAGTGCTGAACGGTATACCGGTTCATGCCGAATACCGGTGTTTATTTTTGTTATGATATGAATTTTTAAAATACCGCAATACCGGTGTATGTCGCTTAATTAAACAACGTTCGGAACGCGACACTGTTTGAAAGAAGTCCCTTTTCACTGTTGCACTGTGGTGAGGGAACAGCTGTATGTGTTACTAAGCGTGAAAGTTCCGAAACTGAAGCTATAGAACTAATAAAACCTGATGACACAGAAGAACTCATCCACAATATCCACATTGACCGCCACAAATATCCACCGCCCCTGCCATCAGCTTCCGTGTCTCACACACACACGAGCGCAACTTTAGCAATAGATTTAGCAACTTTCAGACCCTTTTAGCGGCTTTTTTCCATAGAATATTCATACTGACAAACCTAGCGACTTTTTTGGATAAACCTTAGCTATGGTTCAGTTGGAAGATTTTGCCAGTGCTGTCCCGCGAACGCGAGGTCTGATTTTACCGGAGAAGTGTCACCTCTCTCGGCATCTGTTCTGTGCAGTGAGCGGCAGAGAAGCAGCGCACTGCAGCCGACTAGTCAATAAATGAGTACAAAACAGCGTTTCCTAGCACCTGTTGCTTACTGATTATTTGGAATTATAAATATGAGCGTAGTTCGTCTGTTAATATCACATGCACTTTTTTGTTTGTTGTTTTTTTTAGTTTGTTACTCAGATGCAGGCAGTGCGCTGCATGAGACAAAAAAGTAATATAGCCAAAACAACCTCATAGCCACTTTTAGTGTAGATGCATGTTGATTTTATCAGACGATGCCGCATAAAATAGGTCATTCTAAGTCAATATACTGCAGTATTTCCTCTCTCAGTCAGTAGAAAATATGGTTAACACCCAGTCATGCATGAAAAAAAAAAACCGTCATGTACCGTGAAACCGGTATAATTTTGGAAAATACCGTGATATACATTTTTGGTCATACCGCCCAGCACTACTTGACATCACATCTGAGTTGTGCATCTACAGGTCCAGTACATCAGATTCTACACTTCACCTCACACTCTCTCAGCACAGAGCATCACCTCTGCCTCTCACTAAAGTATCTTCAAGCAGCTGGCTTTCCAGGGCTGACTGCTTTGACCAAAACAAAATCCCTGTAGTCTTTTTCTATTGCAGTAGAGAAGTGGCTTCGTACTCACTCTCTTTACAATATTCCAGCATGAGCTGCATAAATTAATTGATGAAGTTAACGGCGTAACTACAAATGTTAATTAAATGCAAGTCATTTTAAATATAATTACAATGCACCAACATATACGTACATAATAAGTATATTGTAAAAAAAAGGTAAGTACATAATAGTTAATGCCACCTAATATAAAGTGTGACCAATAATTTTTACATTTAAAAATAATTGTTTTAAATAAATAATTATTCTATTATTTAATAACAATAAACAATGACCTATGCAGCTACAGGTGGAATAAGACAAGGGCACCTATGTTATAGCTGCAGTTTAGATGAGTCTTTATCATTAATCCTCCAACCTGAAAGGTCATCATTTTATTTAAGACATCCTTGACCCAATCTAATTTATTCCCCCGTATCTTCCCTCCTTTCGCTTCATCCTCAATTTTCTGCATTAATTTCTCTTTCTCTTTCTCGCTCCTAACCCATTTTATACTTTCCCTTGGTTTGTTTACTCCTAGATTAGAAGTACTATTTTAAGGTCTCCCTGCAGCCCATATTTAAATCTATGACTGCATATGTGCCGTCTAGTTCCCCTGGCACTCATTAAATCTGAGGTCAATTCTAAACAGCACTGGGTTTAAGCCTTAAGATGTAAAAATGAGCAATCAATGGTGGGAATGATGACCCATCAATGATTTCTCAGGATAGGAGCAAGAAATTCCCACTCTGTTAACCACTTTCCCATAGCCACAAGCAAGTTGAACACTGAGAGCTCC